CCCCCCCCCCCCTCTCCCCCAGCAACAACACCTGCCCTCCATGAACACTGAATGAAAACTCCGGCAACATCGTAAAAAGATTGATCACCGACACCGTAAAAAATTCACAACAGAGTGTGGAAGACACCGAAAGAACGCAGAAAACATGGAAGCGAGACATGCTGAAACGAAACACACAAAAGTCCGCCATTCGAGGCTTAAAAACAGCCCTTCCGTCCAGGTTGGGTCACGTGACCATGTTGGGAGTCGGGGCAACTGTCAGAAAAAAAAATAAGAAGCTTCTTTCCGACCCGCTTTTTGGACGAGCACTCTCCCCAAAACAGAAGAAAAAACAAAAACATCCCAAACTACATACAAACGGCACTTGGGAAGGAAATGAAAACTAAATCGGCATTCTCTCATACTAGGAAACAATTACACCCTCACCCTCCCCTCCCTGCCATCTTACAACCCGCAGTCGAGTATTCGTTCTATTGTAGAGGCGTCGGGACCCCCCGTTGCACCGAAAAACAGCGGGAACCGTNGAACGGAGCTCCCGGCACTGGCACGCCGCGACACAGACTCACGAGCCGTGTCGACCCCCGCCGCCGCCGCCGCCGCCGCCGATGCCCCCGTCCCACCGCCGCTGGCGGTGCCCGCCCCCACGCCAGACACCGCCGTCCCGCTCGAGAGTCGCTGCGAAGCCCTCGCCTGGCGCGGCGCGCTAGGTCGTGGAGAGGTTCCGCGTGTGGGGTTCCCTTCACGGGCTGTACAACAATCAATCAAGAACCAAGTCGCAACGGAGGAGCAGCAGCAGCATCGGACGGCAAGGGGGGGGAGGGTACATGTCGCTGTCCAGTCGTCCAGTAGGTCTCACGAATGCATGGAAGGTGCCCGACGCTACACACAGCACGGCGGTGTCTGCCGTCTCTGGAGATGGCCAACGGAGAAGCAACACTCCTAAAAAATATGTACCCCCCCCATCCGCCTCTCCCGGTGTTTGCCATCGGGGTTGGGTTTTCGTCGCTTGGCAACGACGTTGTAAAACAAGCCGCCCCCCCCGGTGTTTGCCATCGGGGTTGTGTTTTCGTCGCTTGGCAACGACGTTGTAAAAC